GGGTTGGGAATGCATCCTGATAAATTCCAACTAATGAATTATTCTCTACAATGCCTGGGAAGAACTTTAGTAAATTTTGATAGTTTTAGCTTGTTTAATAAGGGAGAAATTAATTTCTCAAAAAAAAAAAACGACGTTCCTAAATTAGGGGTTGGGAATGCATCCTGATAAATTCCAACTAATGAATTATTCTCTACAATGCCTGGGAAGAACTTTAGTAAATTTTGATAGTTTTAGCTTGTTTAATAAGGGAGAAATTAATTTCTCAAAAAAAAAAAACGACGTTCCTAAATTAGGGGTTGGGAATGCATCCTGATAAATTCCAACTAATGAATTATTCTCTACAATGCCTGGGAAGAACTTTAGTAAATTTTGATAGTTTTAGCTTGTTTAATAAGGGAGAAATTAATTTCTCAAAAAAAAAAAACGACGTTCCTAAATTAGGGGTTGGGAATGCATCCTGATAAATTCCAACTAATGAATTATTCTCTACAATGCCTGGGAAGAACTTTAGTAAATTTTGATAGTTTTAGCTTGTTTAATAAGGGAGAAATTAATTTCTCAAAAAAAAAAAACGACGTTCCTAAATTAGGGGTTGGGAATGCATCCTGATAAATTCCAACTAATGAATTATTCTCTACAATGCCTGGGAAGAACTTTAGTAAATTTTGATAGTTTTAGCTTGTTTAATAAGGGAGAAATTAATTTCTCAAAAAAAAAAAACGACGTTCCTAAATTAGGGGTTGGGAATGCATCCTGATAAATTCCAACTAATGAATTATTCTCTACAATGCCTGGGAAGAACTTTAGTAAATTTTGATAGTTTTAGCTTGTTTAATAAGGGAGAAATTAATTTCTCAAAAAAAAAAAACGACGTTCCTAAATTAGGGGTTGGGAATGCATCCTGATAAATTCCAACTAATGAATTATTCTCTACAATGCCTGGGAAGAACTTTAGTAAATTTTGATAGTTTTAGCTTGTTTAATAAGGGAGAAATTAATTTCTCAAAAAAAAAAAACGACGTTCCTAAATTAGGGGTTGGGAATGCATCCTGATAAATTCCAACTAATGAATTATTCTCTACAATGCCTGGGAAGAACTTTAGTAAATTTTGATAGTTTTAGCTTGTTTAATAAGGGAGAAATTAATTTCTCAAAAAAAAAAAACGACGTTCCTAAATTAGGGGTTGGGAATGCATCCTGATAAATTCCAACTAATGAATTATTCTCTACAATGCCTGGGAAGAACTTTAGTAAATTTTGATAGTTTTAGCTTGTTTAATAAGGGAGAAATTAATTTCTCAAAAAAAAAAAACGACGTTCCTAAATTAGGGGTTGGGAATGCATCCTGATAAATTCCAACTAATGAATTATTCTCTACAATGCCTGGGAAGAACTTTAGTAAATTTTGATAGTTTTAGCTTGTTTAATAAGGGAGAAATTAATTTCTCAAAAAAAAAAAACGACGTTCCTAAATTAGGGGTTGGGAATGCATCCTGATAAATTCCAACTAATGAATTATTCTCTACAATGCCTGGGAAGAACTTTAGTAAATTTTGATAGTTTTAGCTTGTTTAATAAGGGAGAAATTAATTTCTCAAAAAAAAAAAACGACGTTCCTAAATTAGGGGTTGGGAATGCATCCTGATAAATTCCAACTAATGAATTATTCTCTACAATGCCTGGGAAGAACTTTAGTAAATTTTGATAGTTTTAGCTTGTTTAATAAGGGAGAAATTAATTTCTCAAAAAAAAAAAACGACGTTCCTAAATTAGGGGTTGGGAATGCATCCTGATAAATTCCAACTAATGAATTATTCTCTACAATGCCTGGGAAGAACTTTAGTAAATTTTGATAGTTTTAGCTTGTTTAATAAGGGAGAAATTAATTTCTCAAAAAAAAAAAACGACGTTCCTAAATTAGGGGTTGGGAATGCATCCTGATAAATTCCAACTAATGAATTATTCTCTACAATGCCTGGGAAGAACTTTAGTAAATTTTGATAGTTTTAGCTTGTTTAATAAGGGAGAAATTAATTTCTCAAAAAAAAAAAACGACGTTCCTAAATTAGGGGTTGGGAATGCATCCTGATAAATTCCAACTAATGAATTATTCTCTACAATGCCTGGGAAGAACTTTAGTAAATTTTGATAGTTTTAGCTTGTTTAATAAGGGAGAAATTAATTTCTCAAAAAAAAAAAACGACGTTCCTAAATTAGGGGTTGGGAATGCATCCTGATAAATTCCAACTAATGAATTATTCTCTACAATGCCTGGGAAGAACTTTAGTAAATTTTGATAGTTTTAGCTTGTTTAATAAGGGAGAAATTAATTTCTCAAAAAAAAAAAACGACGTTCCTAAATTAGGGGTTGGGAATGCATCCTGATAAATTCCAACTAATGAATTATTCTCTACAATGCCTGGGAAGAACTTTAGTAAATTTTGATAGTTTTAGCTTGTTTAATAAGGGAGAAATTAATTTCTCAAAAAAAAAAAACGACGTTCCTAAATTAGGGGTTGGGAATGCATCCTGATAAATTCCAACTAATGAATTATTCTCTACAATGCCTGGGAAGAACTTTAGTAAATTTTGATAGTTTTAGCTTGTTTAATAAGGGAGAAATTAATTTCTCAAAAAAAAAAAACGACGTTCCTAAATTAGGGGTTGGGAATGCATCCTGATAAATTCCAACTAATGAATTATTCTCTACAATGCCTGGGAAGAACTTTAGTAAATTTTGATAGTTTTAGCTTGTTTAATAAGGGAGAAATTAATTTCTCAAAAAAAAAAAACGACGTTCCTAAATTAGGGGTTGGGAATGCATCCTGATAAATTCCAACTAATGAATTATTCTCTACAATGCCTGGGAAGAACTTTAGTAAATTTTGATAGTTTTAGCTTGTTTAATAAGGGAGAAATTAATTTCTCAAAAAAAAAAAACGACGTTCCTAAATTAGGGGTTGGGAATGCATCCTGATAAATTCCAACTAATGAATTATTCTCTACAATGCCTGGGAAGAACTTTAGTAAATTTTGATAGTTTTAGCTTGTTTAATAAGGGAGAAATTAATTTCTCAAAAAAAAAAAACGACGTTCCTAAATTAGGGGTTGGGAATGCATCCTGATAAATTCCAACTAATGAATTATTCTCTACAATGCCTGGGAAGAACTTTAGTAAATTTTGATAGTTTTAGCTTGTTTAATAAGGGAGAAATTAATTTCTCAAAAAATAAAAACGACGTTCCTAAATTAGGGGTTGGGAGTGCATTCTGACTAATTCCAACTAAAGAATTATTCTCTACAATGCCTGAGAAGAACTTTAGTAAATTTTAATACTTTCAGCTTGTTTAATTAGGGAGAAATTAATTTCTCAAGAAATAAAAACGACGTTCCTAAATTAGGGGTTGGGAGTGCATCCTGACAAATTCCAACTAAACAATTATTCTCTACAATGCCTGGGAAGAGCTTTAGTAAATTTCGATAGTTTTGGCTCGTTTAATAAGGGAGAAATTAATTTCTCAAAAAATAAAAACGACGTTCCTAAATTAGGGGTTGGAAATGCATCCTGATAAATTCCAACTAATGAATTATTCTCTACAATGCCTGGGAAGAACTTTAGTAAATTTTAATCCTTTCAGCTTGTTTAATTAGGGAGAAATTCGTTTCTCAAAAAATAAAAACGACGTTCCTAAATTAGGGGTTGGCAGTGCATCCTGACAAATTCCAACCAAAGAATTATTCTCTACAATGCCTGGAAAGAACTTTAGTAAATTTTGATACTATTAGCTAGTTTAATTAGGGAGAAATTAATTACTCAAAAAATAAAAACGACGTTCCTAAATTAGGGGTTGGGAGTGCAT